GCCCAAAGTTAAAAACTGTTGTTCTTTTGAGGCCCTCAAGGTGGCGCTCGCGGCCCAAGGCCCATAGGTTAAGAATCTCTGGTGTATTCCTTTGAAAGAATGCTATTCTCATAATAGTGACGTCTGATTTTCTCTGCAATTTCCCCARCAGTTGGACTTCACATACACTGATAGTGTTGACGGGACTTGTAACTCTACCAGTTCATGTGCGGTAGACGACCACGGTAAGAACATCGAAGGTGTTGGTACGTTTTGACAAATTTGAAGGGGAATAAAAATCAAATCAGTTTTTCYTCTCTGCACCTCACAGAGGTCATTCTGAGCTCGTTGGAGGAGAGCTCCAGGAACTTGTCAGAGGAAGAGCAAGACGAAGAGCTGCAGATGTCTCTGAGCAGCCACGGCAGCTCCTTGCTGGAGCTCTACCCGAGCATGGTCAGCCGAATCAAGAGAGCCTGTCATCGGCAGCACGTCTCGGACGCTGCCAACTCGGTGCTGAGGAGGTACCAAAGGTGGCGACAGCAGTCCAGACGAGGCAACACCTTCAATGTTACACTGACACACACCGACAGAAACCCAAAAGCCACGCTGTCCAGCAAGCTGCAGCTGAAGGAGAGCCCCAGTGGTCCTGTAAGAAGGCTGGAAACCATCCCTCATCAGGTCCTGCAGACAGTAACCAGTCTGCATGATGGTCAGGCAAAGAAAGCATCACCTGTAAAGGAGACCCCGCCCATTACACGCTCACTCCCTGTGATAAACTTCTTTGAGACCTCAAACCCCAGAGAGATCCCCCTGAATAAGACCTTTGTGTTTGACGTGTCCCCCTGTAAGCACGTTTCCAGAAACACCGATGGTCCTTCACAACCTTCTCGTGGCAGTTTTCGATCATCCAAAGACTTTAATTCATTCTTTAATCTACCAACACCATCAGTGCCTTACAGCTCAGCAGAGTCGTCCACGTGTTCAAGAGAGTCTCCAGCTGCAACCAAGAGACACGTGGTCTACGGCTCGCCCATCTGGCAGAGTCCTTTCAAGACGAGAACGATGAGCGCCTTCAGTAGATCACCTCAAGCCTTTTCAAGAGGCCTCCAAGGATATTCCCTGGAGCACAGTTCTAGAGGGCCAGCAAGGCCAAGATCACCGTCTGAGTCKCTGCCTTCCTCTCCAAAGAGGCCTGTAGTGCAGTTAAGGATGCTTTACCCCCAATCCCCCCAACCACAGCCGGCCCCGAGAGCAGACGGACGCCCCCGGCTCAGACGCCACCTATCCTTCGACGACTCCCTCTCCCGCCCTGTTTCCTACTCGCCGAAGAAAGTCGACGAGGAGTTTGTGAAGCTTTACCACAAGCTTGTGTGTCAGAATAAGTCCGTTCTCTTTAACAGCCTCCCCTGCCGTCTCTGCGCCAGAAACTCTGAGGTGAGCCGAGGCCATTCGTCCTCGTCTCTGGCAGCTCTGGCCCTGTCGCCCCACCGCTCCGTCCTGTGGAAACGTCACAGGGAGACGGGCTCCGACAGCTACCCTCAGTCCAAACGCCACAAGAGAGAGGCGGTGAGACGATGTCTGTCAGAGGTGCAGCTGCGTCACGGGGCCTTCACCTCCAGCCCCGGTAAACACCGAGCCCAGCAGGACGCCTGGATGAGCTGGCCCCAAGCACAGATCTGAGGAGGACCACTCTAGTCTGGGTAAGCTCCGCCTCTCATTTCTCTGCAGTCAGGAACAGGGAGGACAGTTCTGTTCCTTTGCTTTGGACATCAAAAGATGRGACAAGAGACAGCTTTTAGTTTCAGGTCTGTATATATTTGTAGTAGGGCTGCGCGGTATTTGCGGTAGACGGTAGAAACGGTATGAAGTTGGCCTACGGTGGAAATTTAGCCTCTATCATCATTACATCATTGCGCCTGTGTGATCAGGGCTGCGAGTGCCGAGACAACTGAGCAGGAGTTCAAAATATAATGAAGAAATTCTAGCGTTTTAAAACATGTATAGAGAGAATAAATCCTCAAAATTTCCTCCTCCCGCTGTAAAACCCTTAGCAAAAACTAGTTTATGTAACTTACTTTAAGTGTACTAATTCTGAACTAAACAAAAAAAGAGTATACTTACAGTTTACTTTGTATGTACTTATCTGAGATATACTTAACTAAGTTTATCGTACACTATAC